TATGTTGAGGGCTTCCTTTCTTTCCAAGTCATCATCTGGTATTGTTCTCTTAATTGAAAATTATGTGGATTTAAAGCTGGTTGGACTAGAGGTGAGTCTTTAAGTGTGTTGTAATAGAATTCTTTTTATGATAGCTTTTACTAATCTCATTATGTTTCAAATGTGACATGTTTCATAGCTAACATGATCTTTTTAAGATCTTGTTTGGTTCTCAGCAGCTCATCTTTTCTTTACCTATGCTATATGTGTATCACATTCTTGTGAAACACCTTTCCCTTTCCACTGGAAAATTGGTGTTTTTTATCTTACACAGATACTTCTTCAGGCGCTCAGGTCAGCGTTCCAGGGTTCGTAAACTCCAATATATTGCTGAACTTGAGAGAAGTGTTGACATACTTCAGGTAATCATGCAATTTTTCTTGTTTTGGTTCTCTCCCTGGTTTTTCTTGGTGGAAATTTCATTTTAGCTTGTCTTGTTTTGCAGACACTGGGAGCTGATTTGGCTGCAAGAGTTGCTTCTCTGTTTCAGTACCGTCTTGCTTTATCTGTAGAAAACAAGAAACTAAGGCAGCAACTTGCTAGTCTTCAGCAGGAGAAAATTATCAAGCATGGTATGTGATCCCCCGTTCCAAGTCCCCATGTCCTTGTTCTTGTCATATTCACCTGCTTCACTAAATTTCTATGCATCTCTGAAAACCGTTGGTGTCTGCTTCCTTAAAAAAGAGTTGTATCCTTAAGGATCAAACTGGTTCCTTGTCAGCTCTAAAAGAATTCTGATTTTTTTGTCTAATTGTTCGATTATGGTTTAGTACTCAACTTTGCTTGATGCAGAGTTCAGTCCAATTTTTAATTTGGTTTCTAGTAAATTTGATTATAGTTGAGACATTCTAACTTTTGTCACTATATGATTCAAAGCATCAGAATCATCTTGAGTATCATGTATCATCCAACAGATAAACATTAATTTTTCAAAAGGTAATTGAACATTCGCAAGACAAGAAGGGAAAGAAGATTTAAAGAGTTCAGGAAGGCCAATCTCAGGATTTTAGCCAAAACGATCTTCTTTATATCTGTTAGACATTGTCAAATACGGATTATCTTGATCATTTTGCAGATCAACTGGGTGGCATGCCCGAAAGCATATCATAACTGTGGCCTACATTAGCTAGCAAAGATAGGAATACATGCAGTAACATATACCCGCAAATCCTGCTTGTTATTATCTCCCTTCTCTTCATCCGGAACTGCTACATTTGACAGGTCAGCATCAGTCTCTGAAGAATGAAGCAGAGAGGTTGAGAATGATTTATGGGCGCCACCGGAGAAGCAAAAGTGCCGCCTCGTGCTTTGGTACAAGTCCGTCCGTCGTCGTCGTCGATCCTTCACCAATCGATTGGCAAACGTTGGACTTGGGAAAGCTCAGTCTTGGTGGGAACCAAGTTTCTATGAAGCATGGATTAGGTCACTGATGAAAGAAGACTGAAGAATTCCAACACAACATCACACCGTCGTTTGCTTGCTAAATCAGGTATTGTAGCAGCAGACCCTTCCTTGCTTGCCAGAGGTAAAAACCTAAGACTTAGTAGTTGTTGCCGCCCAATCTTTTCCCCTGCAAATGTGTTTACTGTGTGCATAAATTTTGGTCTAATTACCTGAACTTGTGAGCAAGGGAAACAAATCGAGACATGACGTAATATTAACTAGTAGCAGTGATCTTGTTGTTGTACTGGAGAGCTGTCAATGGATCTCCGTCCTCAAAGCTCCATGTCAACTCTCTTTCCTCGTAATAGTCTTACATGAGGTCTCTACTCTGGTGTTAGGTTGCTCGGTGTGGCAAATCACGTATTCAAACGATTATGCTGGCAAATTGTCTCTCAGATCCGACCATGGTTCAAATCAAAATCAAACTGGGCGAGAATCGGAATGGAACTGAACTGAATCAATTGTTCTGAATCGAAGGTTTCAGCAGTTTGGTTTTGGTTCTTGCAATCTAACCAACAATTCTAGGTCTTGGAATATGGACCTAACGATTTCGATTTTTGGAATTTGGAATCCGAACTTAAAATTAGAAATTAAAATAGACGGTTCCGATTCGAAATTGGAGTCGCCTGGATTCTAAATTCTGCAAAATCGAAACTATCAGTTAATTATTTTAGAGTCGATTTTGGTTTATATATATATATTAATAATTATTAATAATGTTTCCTGCTTTTTTGGTCTTCAGCATTTTTTAGACGTGTGAGATTTGTTGTTCATGACAGCATGTTTATTTATATGTATATATTTTTTCATTATTTATCCTCTTTTAAATTATTACAATTGAAATTATTTATTCGTGAAAAAATATATTCAGTTTATTCAATTGAATTCATTTCTTCTTTTTCATCCTCCTTCGATTATTGATGATGATGATGATAATGATGATGATGATGATGATGATAGATTTTAAAAACTAAAATGATAGACCGAGACAATGATGATAATGGTAGAAGCAGTAGTAGTAGTAATTAATGATCACGAGATAATAATAACAAAGTCGTAACGTTCTAACTATAAGCATAGTTTGACTTGATGATACTTCTATAATGATAATAAAGATAGAACAATGACAGATGACAAGATAGTGAAGACAATACAATTGATGATGAATTGAAGCAAGCAGAGCTTTCAAATCCTGCACACTACTGCTGGAAAACTGAAAGGCCAGTGATCCAATAAAGGAAAGCAAGCATGCTCTCTCTTCTCTTCTCTGCATGCAAACAGAGCCCTTGGTTCTAAATTTTCTCCAAACAAGGAAGAAAAAGGTCCAGCATCTACAAGATGCATCTTTACCTTTCTATCTTCCAGACAGATACCATAAAGATTGAACTGATGATAATACCCATCTTCTTGTGACACTGCTGCCATAGATAGATTCCTAATGTCTAAAGCATGAAGTGCCTTGGAATGCTGGTGTAATTTTTCTGCCCACCCACAAGCATTTCTACTGGTCAAAACAGACAATAAGCACCCAAGCATGATCTTGATCTGCTAACCCCACAGAAGCCATAAGAATGGAGATAGAGACCAAGATTTCTTTTCTTCATAATAGGATGAGGGTGGGTGATGGCAGACACTACTTGGCATCAGCTGACAAAGAATCGCTGTAGAAACAAAGTTAAAAGAGTGCAGTCTCAGAGGGAACTCAATACAAACCAAAGCAGACTCCAAAGAAGCAAAGTGGTATTCTCCAGCTTCAGTCTAAACTTTGGGTGCTCTCCATGGATTCATGGATTCCTCATCACAGGTCCTCCTCATGCAGAGTTATTCCCACCACCAAGGATCAAGAAGAAGGCACCATAAAAAGGACAAACATTTATTGACTGAAAGCAGAGCAATTAATCCTCGTATGACCGCCCCACTGCCTATCCCTCATGACACCCATTACTACTTCTGAAGTAACACAGCCTTCGAACTTTGAAGAAATATATAGAAAGAGATTTAGGCCAAGAAAAAAAGAACAACAACATATCGTCATTTTTATATATTTATATATATATAGTGATTTTTTTAAAAAAAATCTTTAATTTTGAGTTTTTGTCTTGCAACATCTTAAGTCTCTTGTCGATCGTTATCCTCCACTATGTCTTTGTTTGGTGCCGAGACGTCTTGTGCTTGAGAGTCTCACTTGTCATGATTGATCGTAGCCCTCGTCGATCGTCTCTTCTCCCCTTAGTCGCTTATGTTTTTGCGTACGAAGTTGATAGACAATGTCATAAAGATTTTATAACGTCGTGAGAACACTCGATGAGAAAAATATAAAGTTATAGATTTTTTTATTTTTTGAAAATTCAGCATATTTTTTTTCAGAAGAAAGAAGAATAATAAGAAGCTGCAGTAAGTTCTCATAAATTTGGCACGGGCGACCCGTACGTTTCACCTACGCAGCACTACTACACACTGACGTCCGCTCGGCCGCATGGCCGGCGAGGGACCTCCCGCGTCGCCTCCGTCCTCGGTCGCCCCCTGAGGCGGAGACGAGGACGGGGTGTAGAACACCGGGGACGCGCACGGCGTCTCCTCTTCCACCACCTCCTCCTCCTCGCCGTCCTCGTTGATGGTGTACAGGGCCCTCGAGGGCCCCAGGCACATGGCGCGCCACCGGGCCAGGTCGCACTCCTCCTCCGCCTCCTCGGTCGCGGGCTTCGGCGCGTCCGCGTGCGGCCGCGGGGCGGCGCAGGCTGGCTCGACGCGGGAACGGTGCTTGAAGAAGAGGACGTGGTGCAGGAGCTCCCTTGGGGGCGGGCCGTGGCGGGGGACTCCGACTCCGTCGCCGAGCTCAGGCTGGCCGCTTCGCCGCCTTCGACGACGGCAATGGAGGAGGTAGAGGAGCTCGGCGGCCAACCCGAGAAGAGAGATAGAGAAGACGAGTGCGAGAGCGAAGCCGAGCTTTGTGAGTCTGCTCATGCCGTGAGAGGGATGCCGAGAGACGACGAGATGAAACCAAACGACACCGAGACTTCAATGGAATGAAACTAAAGCGGAGAGACCGGTCGCTTTAACGCGAGTGAAGGAGGGACCGGCTGGAGCCGGTGTCACTTGGGGACGATAGTACGGAGCCCGCGAGGCCGTGTTCCGGTTACCTGCTGTAGCCGGTGACAAAAACTGGACTTGCATGTTTTGCATCAACGCCCTCAAGATTTCCTTTAATTAAGTCTTTTTTTTTACTTTTTAGCCCCTAAAACTATTTAGAATTTGCCTGCAGCTGTATGCTTAAGAAGTATTATCACAGGAAGTTGTCACCAATGTATACATGAAGTTGCACATCATTGCATATAGACATGACTTGGAAGATTCAATCAATTGCAAGATGATGATACAACAGATTTTGAAATTAGGGTTCATGAATGGTGGCAATGAACATTTATGAACTAAGTAATTAATTATATCTTGGTTTAGCTCATGGTTTTGATTGGTCAGAGCTTCAATTCTGTGTTGACTTCTAAGCAATTTGTCAATGGCTTACACAAAAAAATGTTAGAGCTTCAAACTTCACATACTATGTCAGACAATGTGACTGCCATTTTCCAAACATAAGACAGGATTTTAACTACAGAATAAGCTATAAACCACCTGCAATTTCTTCCTTGGCATTGTTAGTCTCTTAGAGGGATGTCTCCTCTTTGCAGTTGTTTAAATTCTTGATCTAGCTGTGATTGTTCAATACATGTCATACAGTGCAGTAGCTTTTCCTGTCTTGCAGGCACTGCAGTATGTTCAAGAGAGCCAGACGAGGCTTGCTCTGCTGGATGGAAACCTAGAGAGAAGTCGATGAAGCCAGATCCTAAACTCAGCAACAATGTGATTGCAGCTGTGTCAAGCATTCTGCAACCTGAAAGATTTAGAATGGTTGTTGCAATTATCCCATTGTAAGCTTAGCAATCCAAGTAAATTTTTGGTTTGCCAAATAATCTATAGGGTAAATAAGAGGATTCTACCAACATTTAATTCTGCAAATGATGGATACAGCTAAAGTTGAAGTTGAATGAGTTAATACATGAATAGTTGATTTGTTGTGAAGCATTATGGTCACTCTCCAGCTACTTCTAGTAATGCTGTCATGGACACATGCAGTTGATGAGGAAAGAGAAGACAATACCAAATATCCATGAAACAAAGAATTTCTGCGAGAAAATCCAAAAGTATGTAGAGTATTGGTCTGAACAAACTCGTCATTTTCAATCCTAACACCAAGATTCATTCGCAACTTAGCTAAGGTTTTTTATTTTCTCTGGTGGGCGGCCTCCATATCATCAATCATGAAACTTGAAGGTGCTAATTAGCCTAACTAGTAAAAGTTTTGACAGTCCATCGTAAGGTCCTGGGTTTGAATTCCACCTTCGCCATTTACCTTTTGCATACAAAAAAAAAGAACTCTAAAAAAAACCATTATCAATTACTTTACACAAACATCCATGAGATTGATTTTCTCACAGATATTTATTTTTCATGTATATTTGATAATAGCTTCTCTTATGAGAATGATAGGTTGTGTGCTTTTATGTCAACCTGCAAGATATTTGAATCGAACCGTGGCTAGGGCTAAAGTCCAGCTCCCTTGTCACACGCATGACATTTATGTCACCAGTATAATAGCAAGTAATCGAAACACAACCTCGATACTATCTTCCCGAACTCACACCGACCCTAGTCAATCCTGCCTTCACCTGTGTTAAAGCAGTTGATCCCGCATTCATCACCTTTATATCAACTTTTCTTCCATAGGACATACGAGAATGTGCTCCACAAAAAAACTGCACCTTTAACTCTTGTCACCGACCACCCACGAGAAGCGCAAAGCAAAGTCTTCCATCGATGGGTTTATAAGCCAGTGAGCCACACTCACCTTACAGAAGAAAAAGAGAGAAAGAGGTGGCTCTTGAGGAGATCATCTCCCTAGTAACCCTTATATGGAGGGTTCTGCATTTCTTTCTACCGCTGCTGCTCACAGTCACGATATGTGCAATGAATATCCGGACATACGAGGGAAAAGTGACGTCGCTGCAGCAGAGGAATTTCTATTGGGATTTGTCGGTCCGGCTTCGCCTGACAATGACAACTAAAGATTGAGGAATGAGTGAAGAAAGCCACTTGCTGATCTGTTAGAATCTTACCCAAACAAGAGTTTTATGATGTATGCTTTCTACCTTATAGTTTGATGCAACATTTGTCTTTTGATTTTGACGTTGAGTTATAGCTTTAGTAGAGATGAATCTTAACTTTTATCCCACGATCACTTATGTCACTATCATATGACAACTTGTTAAGTCTAAATTAACTCAACAAATGCTTCTTCACGATAATAGCTGAATTTTCTTCCTTTATATTGATAGTAAAAACCATCCGAACTGTCTATTCTGTTTGTGTTGTATTCCTTTTATAGTATATGAAACAAAGTTAGAATGAATTATAAGACATTCTGTTAAACAGTTCCAGTATATTTTCTGCTTGAAATTTGGGTATGCAATGAAATGAATTGTGCAGAATCTTATCACCTTCATCTGTATTTATCTGCTCTACAAATGCTCAAGTTTCTCTGTGTGTTGCATGTCATCATTTGTCTCAAGGGGGTTCACCTTAAATCATGATTTGTGAGAAAGCTTTGATCTTAGGATTTTACTGCTGAACATTATTGCAAACGTTATCTACCTGACTTGAACCCACTTGAGACAAATGATGACATGCAACACACAAAGAAACCTGAGTATTTGTAGAGCAGACATATAACACTTAATGACAGACAATTTAGACATATAGATGAAGGTGACAAGATCCTGTACAATTCATTTTGTTGAAAAACCAAATTTAAAGGAGAAAGTATACTGAAACTGTTTAACAGAATGTCTTGTAATACATTCTAACTTTGTTCCATATACTATAGAAGGAATACAGCATAAACAGAATAGATAGAGTTCAGATAGTTTTTACCATCAATATAAAGGAAGAAAATTCAGCATCTATCATGAAAGGTGGCAACTGCCTCTTATCTTAGACAGAAGCATTTATTGTGGGATAAAAGCTAAGATTCATCTCTACTAAAGCTAGAACTCAACATCAAAATGAAAAGGCAAATGTTGCATCAAACTGCAAGGAAGAAAGCATATGACATAAAACACTTGATTGGGTAGGATTCTAAACAGGCAGCTTTCTTCGCTCGTTCCTCGATCTTTAACTGTCATTTTCAGGTGAAGCCGGACCACCAAATCCAAAATTCTTCTGCTGCCGATGTCACTGTTCACTTCTCCCTCATATGTCCGGAGATTCATTGCACTTATCGCAACCACAAGAACTGCGACAGTGAGTGGCAGCACAAGAAGAATAGCAGAACCCTCCATATAAGGGTTACCAGAGAGATGATCTCCTCAAGAGCCATCTCTCTCTCTCTCTCTTTTTCTTTTGCAAGGTGGGTGTGGCCTACTGGCTAATAAACCCATCGATGGAAGCCTTCGCTTCGCGCTTCTCGTGGGTGGCCGATGATGAGTTAAAGGTGCAGTTTCGTTCTGGAGCACATCCTTGTGTGTACTACGGAAAGAAGTTGACATAAATGCAGTGAAGGCAGGAATGGCTGCTTTAACATGGGTGAAGGTGGGACCGGCTGGGGCCAATGTGAGTTGGGGAAGATAGCACTGAGGCCGTGTTCCAGTTACCTGTTGTAGCCGATGACATAAATGCCATGCGTGTGACAAGTGAGCTGGACTTTGCCCTGACCACGGTTCAGTTCAAATATCTCACTAGTTGACATAAAAGCACACAACTTATCATTCTCATAAGTCGAGCGTTCGAATTAAGTAGCATTGGTTGTTCACCCAATATAATCATGTACTTATTCCCAATATAATGAGATAATTTGATCTGCCAATGGATAACAAACAAGACTAATCATAATATGCAAAAAGAGAAACTTGATGCCACTTAAATGTTAGTGAAGACTAAATAAAACATGCAAACAATGACAGACAATTTAGACATGCTGTGACAAGATTCTGTACAATTCATTTTGTTGCATAACCAAAGTTCAAGGAGAACATATACTCTGGAACTGTTTAACAGTCAATGTCATTTTGTTCCGTATACTATAGAAGGAAAACAGCAAAAACAGAATAAACAGAGTTCAGATGGTTTTTAGCATCAATATAAAGGAAGAAAATTCAGCTTCTATCATGAAAGGTGGCAACTGCTTCTTATCTTAGACAGAAGCATTTATTTAGTTAATTTAGACTTAATAAGTTGCCACATGACAGTGACATAAGTGCTTGTGGGATAAAAGTTAAGGTTCATCTCTACTAAAGCTAGAACTAAACATCAAAAGGAAAAGGAAAATGAGTAACAGTAAAACATAGTTCACAACATTAGAATTCTGATACGATACACCCAACAATGATCATCCAATATTTCAATTTTGGCCAATTTTTTCAATAATGTAGATGACTATAATTAATTGAACACAACTGAAGTTTAGTGCGTAGATGACAGTGACACTCTTAAACTCTTTGAATGAACTCACTTTCTTGAGCTCTTTGCTACCTTAAGCATCGGATGTTAACTTGACCTTGTTAGACACGCACCCAGTGTAGTTGTGTAGGATCCTTCCGCTTGAAAGAAGCCCGGTGTCAAGGGGGGCGAAATACAAAGGAGCAACCAACTAGAATGTTCTCAACGGGCATTTGATTCTCAGTCGAAACAACATTCACGAAAACGGCCAGGTTGGGTCAACTTCGTCATATCATGTTGACAACCAAAAACGACACTAACACATCAAGATTTTTCTAATGCAATTTGCACTCCAATGCCTACACAGGAAAGTGTATAAATGAAATGTCAACTAAGGAGCATTCCTTAAACAAAATGAAGAGGCATGCTTAAGTCTCAGATTCAGTTGCTGATGCAGAAAACAGTCTAATTTCAGGAATCACTACTTACATAGATAGACATTGGAAACTAATATAGATGAAGAAAGGTCAGTACATTGTCTATACAATGTATAAACTGACATGCAAACTATATGTTGCATACGCAGTATTTATTGCCCTCAGCCTATATATCATCGAATAATTGGTGAGCTTAGGAAATACAATCAACCAACATGCATAGCTTAATTGTCAGAATGTAAATATGTGTTCCTATATGAACTTTAAAAGGTCAACAGCATAAATCAACTCTCACGAAGAGCAGCAAAGAAAGAAATGCCCACATTAATACCTAGCTTGTGATATATCAAAAAATACATATCTTAAAGATTTCCACACCTTCAAAAAAGCAATCAAACCAGCAATAAACAAGAGCGTACCTTTATGAACTCCTCATCAAAAACAGCTTCGGCCTCGAAATCCGGTGCTTTATTCACCACTAATGGCAAGTGGCTCTGCAGACATCAATCTTTCACTCACTCAATCAACGCGAAAAAAAGAAGAGAAAACAAAAAACTTCACAACATTGCTAGTTTAGAAGTAGTAGAGAAAGTAAAAGAAATCCTTTTTTTGGCCCAAAAAAAAAACAAAAACTTCACAAATATCAAACATCTCCACTAATCCAACCCATGACAACAATAAGCACCTCATTTTTCAACCTAATGTTCTCAATCCACCATGTCAACTGGAAACCAAAGAACACTAAACGAAGCAAAATTTCTGCGATTGGGAAACGAGATAAAAATTATAGGAATCACGACCTCGGATAAGGCTTTGACAACGAAACTTCTTGAAGGAGATCCGGAAGCAGAGACCAGCCGGGCGGAGCGAGATCGAGAGCTCCTCCTCAGGCCGTGGAAGCCCATTGGGACCCCTACGTCCTCGACGGAGGCCGCGACGCGGGGGCCAAGGAGGCCATGCGTGCCGTGGCCTTCGGGGCGACGAGGTAAGGAACCGAGCCAGCCATGTCGGCGGAGCACTCCCCCTCTCGCTTCGCTCAGCTGTGATTGACGGACGAGATCGGTGTTGGGTTCTCTGTCTACACCAGCGGAGTTGCACACGTGCCGTGCAAGTATCCGGTACGCATACTCTGCCGATCGATCGACCCACGCAACCACCTGCCTTCTCTGTTACACGTTGTGATCGGGCTCGTGTGGAACCCACCAATTAGGTCAATGTTACCTCCATTCACTACAGTTGGGGGAGAGAAAAAATGGTGCACGTATTCATTTTTCATTTTTTTTCTAAATAATACTTTTAATTTAAAAATATTCAAAATATCCCTCAAAAGTTTTTTATCAATTTTTTTATTTGTTTTCAGTATTTTCATTTGGCTTATATATTTTTTAATATTATTCTATAATATTTTATTAATATACTGAAAACATTATAAATGTTTGATTAATGTTTGAAGTATATTTAAATTATTTATAGTATTTTTAAGTAGGCTTTATTGTGCCTATGTCGTAGTGGTCAAAATAATGTAACAGACCTAAAACATTGTGACAGACCAAAATACTATAATGTGAAAAATATTTTAAGAGATAGTTTGGATACTTTTAAATTAGGAGTACTATTTGAAAAAAATAAAATAAGAAGCATTGATTGAAAAATACCTAAAATATTTATATTTTATAGAAAAATAACCCTTGTTTGTATGTTAGATAATTTATGTAAAGGAACTCTCATTAACTGAATTTTTAGTATTTTTATTAACAAAAAATATATTCTTAATCTTTTAATCTTTTAGGTTTAATACATGATTTACATCGAACCAAAGAAGTAAACTACCAATCTGATTTGATCTTCTCAAGACCAAAACAATGATAATATTCAGAATATTAATATGCTCGAATCAAAATTGATCATATCAACTACCAACAAAATCGATACAGCCCATGTTAATATTATAATCACAAAAATCACTAAAATCATAACACTAGAGACTAAGAATCATTCAAGAACAGTATGAAGAGTTGTAAATCCCACAAACAACTCCAGCACTCATGAACAAGTTGCATTACATCTGATCCTTGTACACATGAATGTAGACATGAACAAAACTCAATTAAGCTTTTGATCATCAAAAAAATGGAAGACAAAAGAGAACTGCAAAGAGATTCTTGGAACTCCCAAAGAGGTCTCAGTTCATGCACCTTGAGTTATAAAATCATCGATCATTGTCCCTCAGCTCCCCCAACATAAACAATGCAACTCCGTACAGTTCCATGAATTCCACAGTCGATTCATGTCCTTGTGTTTAGGGTTCATCCCCATGTGTTCTCTTGTCTCCTTGTCCTCATAACCTGCATCCCTGACCTCAAGTGATACCCACTTATTTTATGTGTGCACATGGAGAAAGATGGTTGTGAGCTGAGGATATCATATACTTGAGAGAAAGGGTGGCAGGTGGGTTGCATGATGGGGAAAGTGTAGGAGGAGAGCATGAAGATCACATTACATGTCACAGCAGGTGAGATAAAATGACTGTAGAGTGAAGGATTTGTGAGAACAGATGAACTGTATCATCACATTTCAAGCATCAGAAGTCACTGAGTTTCTTAGAGTAAGCTTTGATCTTATTGTAGAGATATGTACCTCTCAAAATGATGTCATGCAACACATAGAGAACCCTAAGAATTTGTAGAGCAGACATATAACACTTAAAATACCTGTTGGAAGAACATGGAATATATATAATTGCATGGGGCTCAAACTATATGGTTGTGATGAGGCCACAATGGCAGCTCTCACTTCTAAAGACCACCACCTGGCCATTCCTCATCAGCTCAATATATATATACATATATATTTGCAGCATAGGAACTATAAACCCCCACATGTTAAACAATGGACACCAAACTCCCACACATGCTCAGATCAATGCATCAGACCTCTCCCTTGCATCTGTGTCCTGTACATGTCTCTTGCTCTTGGACAATAAAAATATTTGTGCATAGACTATAAATGCATGGTAATAATAGTTACATGCTTCTCAACTCTCAGCACTGCATCATCACCACATCTCTCCTCTTCCGCTACCTCTCACATATATGGCACAGCATCACCCACAAGCTCGGGCTTGGGAGTCAGCCATGCTTCTTCACCACCGTTATTACCATCATCTCTACCACTCGGAGCAGGAGGAAGCCCCACATGAGAGAGAACACATGTTTGAGAAGCCCCTCACACCAAGCGACGTAGGGAAGCTCAATAGGTTAGTCATACCGAAGCAGCATGCCGAGAGGTACTTCCCACTCGACGGCGGCTCGGCGGAGGGAGGCCTTCTGCTGAGCTTCGAGGACGAGTCAGGCAGGGTGTGGTGGTTCCGGTACTCGTACTGGACCAGCAGCCAGAGCTACGTGCTCACGAAAGGGTGGAGCCGCTTCGTCAAGGAGAAGAAGCTGGACGCCGGCGATGTCGTCCTCTTCGAACGCCCGCGGTTCGGGGGTCGGGACCATTTCTACATCGGTTGCCGGCGTCAAAGCCCGCCGCCGGCTCACTCCATGACCGTGCCCGACGGTCCAGAGCCGCTGAGCCCGGTGTACCACGCTGCTGCTTGCTCGTATCCGGCGAGCAACACAGTAACACAAGACTGTCTTCTTCATGAGGGTAAGATGTGGCATACATTTCAGTATCATGGAATCACCAATACAAGGACAAGGAATTCCTTAGTTGCGTCCATGTACAGGAGAGCAGAGGAACGGAGCAACGCGGAGCGAGACGAGGCGATTGAGACTCTTCGGCGTAAATTTCGACTGCGGGCCGGAGCCGGAGCCACAGCCTATGACCTCAGCCTCATGGTTCTTGCCAGGAAATGCTTCCAGTTCTCAGCTATAGGTTGGTTAATGGTTGATCCAGTGCATGCATCTTCTACATGTTTCCTCTGTCTAATGAATCTGATGGTGCGCATGTTAACAGGAGGTCCATCCTCTCCTCTTCCGAATGGCATTGTTGATTTGACTTGCGAGGGCACTGGGCACTGGGCACTGGGCACTGGTGGAGGTGGGCAGGTGGAAAGAGAAGCGTCGGAAAAGAGGAGGGGAGGGGAGAAGAAATCCCTGGATTTCCGGGCATGCGATCTCTGCGTCCCTTTTCATTTTCTCTTCAACGATTCCACTGTAGACGACCTGTCGGGTCTGATGGATGGGATATCTGGTGATGTTTCAGGAAACATCAGATCCAATTTGCCTTCCATGTCTCTGAAGAAAGAAGAAAAGAATCTGATGAGGCTTCCTGTACATGTTGCAGTTCACCTGCACTTTCTCTTTCTTTCCTGCATGAAATGAACAGGTGATTGGTGAGCATGGAACACCATCATCTTCATTAAACACCACCATGAAACTATATGGGATTCTAGAAATGAAAGAAAAGACACCTGTGGATTTCCCTCTGCCCTTTCTAACTTTGTCCTCCATTTTGTGTCCAGGAAATATGCTAATATGATTTCCAAGTATGCTAAGTTGAGATGAAAGAGCATTTATTAGGCCATTATGGTGAATTCCTTATTCACTCCAACTTGTATTATTATATATACATTCACATGTAGCCTCAACTTGCAGCCTCAGATTCATAAACTTAGAGCCTTCTTGGTTCTCTTCTTTATCTAATGCAGTGCATGAACCTGGAAGAACAGAAACCAAGAGGAAGAAGCAACCAAGATTCATCCGAATGGAACTTTAGTGGATGATTACTCGAACCATATCAGCAGAAAAGATATCATGTCTGCTGTTGAAGGAATGAGCCATGTGCAGGGAACCTCCCTTCTTCTTCTCTGTCTTCTACTTCCATGGATGCAGAACATGGACACATGAGACATGAAGAATCTGCAGTTTGCTTGGCTGTGGGAGGAAACCTCCACCAAGACAAACCCAAGATAGAAGGTGGGAGTTTTGGGGGATGTCTTCCTGAGGACAGACAATAACACAATGGCAAAACAAACAAAAAAAGATAAATATTAGTAATATTGCTAAGCTGATTTAAATTGATTAGTGGGAATAAACTATAATAGAATCAGGATTCTATTGCTATGTTGGATATAAACCTGACTAAATTCAAGATCTCAGATGACTTGACTGTACCTATCAAACTTTGATTATGTACAGATCTGTATTCATTAGTCATCCAATGACTTTGATTATATTTTTTAAAATATTTAATATATTTCTTTCCATTCTTGAGAAAATATACACCAAAAATAATATTTTATTTTGCTCTTTCAACAAATTTATTAGCAAATGGCTATGTTCTTATTGAAGATCCAATTCTTTTATCTTTTATTGTTTTATGATTTTTTTTGTTTTGTTTTGGTCCTTTGTAAAATTCCTCATATTCTTATAATTATATATGTCTCTACAATATATATTCATTCTAATTTGGATATATCTAATTATACACTATAAATTAGTTTAATAATCTAATTATCATAACAATTTTTCAACCATCATAAATCTGACATCTGATGTGGACCAAATCCATTGAACTAATAATATCAAAAAATGATCATCAACCCAAAGTTGCCATGTAAAAATTGGCCATTAGAAATAATTATCTTGCCTCTTTTAAGAGGGGACTTCTTCCAAAATGAGACATGTAAGATTGCACCAAGACATATTTGATTAAATTCTTTCTATAATTAAATTAGTAAAGAGACTCAAAAATAAATATAATTTGGAAATTTAAAGAACTCAAACTAGAGTATGAGGAATATTTTATTTTGTAGCTCATGCATGACCTTACATCATCCTGATCAACTACATGTCAAATTCTAATTAATCATCAATTGTACTTATATCAAATACATTAAAGAAATTATTGTAATCAATCATAATGATAGAGTATTTTAACTAATTTAATCTTAAAGTATAAATCTAATCAATAACAATAATCTAAGTTTGAACTACCAAACATGCATGAAATAATTGTTCTGAAACTCAAATCAAATTTCTAGATTCTTATATTAGTATGATGATGATGATGATAATGATGATGATGATGATGATGTACCAAACACCTTTATCAAAAATTAAATATTTAAAATATTATTTGATATATTTTAAGTATTTTAAATATTAGTTTGGTAATGGTTTATCAAATCTTCTTATTGAGGATTTTAAAACTCAAATTGATATATTTTTTATAATGATAGAGTATTTTAGCTAATTTAATTTTAAAGTATAAATTAAATTAATAGCAATCATCTAAGTTTCAAGCATGCATAAAATTATGATTATGAAACTCAAATCTATCTTTCTTCTTGTCAATGGTGATGTATCATACCCTCGTATCCAAGATTAAGGATTTGAAATCTTATTTTACATATTTTACATCTTAAATATCAGTATGATGATGATGTATCAGACTCTTTTACTATAAAATAATTATTCGAAATCTCATTTGATATATTTTAAATATTTATCGAAGGTTGAGAGTTCAAAATCTCAATTGATATAATTTTTCTTATAATATTTTTAAACTAAATATTAATCTAATGGTGATGTATTAGATCCTCTTACCAACCAAAGTTGAGAGTACAAAACCTCTTCTCCTTTAATATGATTATTTTTAATTTAGTTTCATGTTATTTTGATACTTCTGCAACATTCTCTCTTATTATACATCTGGAAAATTTCATTATGTATATATTATATAGTATAATATATTCCTTAAATACTTTTGTGTCAATATGAAATCTGATGTGATTCGAGTTCTATGCATTCGACCATTCTATTATTAAACGGTGCATGCAAACTGGTCTTCACGATTAACTACAGGACGAGAAACGAAGCAGCAACCGATCGTCGCTGCCACAAATCAGGAGGCGATTCCTCTCTCTATTTCGCCTATCCAATAAGAGTAACCACGGAGGAGGAGAGAGAGAGAGAGAGAGAGAGAAGAGGGAGGAAGGAAGGAAGGAAGGAAGGAGTCCACCTCCTCAGCAATTCCATCTCCTCCTCCATCTCCATTTCCGTCTCAATCTCCTCCTTTGGATGGACCAACCTCCTCCACAAGCCTCTCCGCCGCACCACCGCCTATTCTTCCTTCCTTCACCTACACACCTCTTCAAAGGCCACAGCACAGCCTACACCATCTCCTGTCTCCTCCTCCTCTTCTCCTTTCTCCTCCTCCCCCACTTCCTCACCCCGCTCCAACCGTTCCTCCTCCTACGCATCCCGCGCAGCCACGATTCCCACCCCGACACGGCCTGCGATTACACCTTCGGGAGGTGGGTGTGGGACGAGGCACGCCCGCTCGACGCCTACACCGAGGACTGCCCCTTCCTCGACCCAGGGTTTCAGTGCCGTCGCAATGGCCGTAATGATTCCAGCTACCTCTATTGGCGATGGCAACCCCATGGCTGCGACCTTCCCAGGTGCTGATCCTGTTGCACTACGTCTACATCAATCCAGTTGGCTTTAAATCTTGTGGAAGCATCGATTCTTTTCCTTGATTCCTTGCGCTGCGATCTCATAGCATTTCTGGATTTGCCAGAATACCTACAATTAAGATTCACAATATGATCGATTAAGATCGCTTGGATCAAAGAAACGAAAAGCTTGTTATGTGGTCAAATCTTCCTTAGTGTCGTGGAGAGATTGATCGAAAGACGTTCGATTGACATCTACAGAGTGTAATCGTTTCGTAGATTGTGTTCTCTTGCTTGATTCCCTAATGAGGTTCTATTGTTCTTCCTGAAGATTCAACGCATCTGAGATGCTGGAGAGGAGCAGGAACGGCAAGATCATATTTGCAGGGGATTCCATCGGCAGAAACCAGTGGGAGTCGTTCCTGTGCATGCTGGCCAAAGCTGTGCAGAACAAGTCCAGCATCTACGAGAAGTACGGGAACCCCATCACCAAGCACAAAGGCTTCCTCTCCATGGTCTTCCACGACCACAACCTAACAGTGGAGTACTACCGAGCCCCCTTCCTGGCAGCCGTCGGCCGCCCTCCCCGGGCCTCCCCTGACCACGTCCGCGCCGCCATCCATCTCGACGCCCTGCACTGGCAGTGCAAGCACTGGGTCGACGCCGACGTGCTGATCCTCAACGCCGGCCACTGGTGGAACGACAAGAAGACCATCGACGTGTAAGTAGGGTTCTGCTTCTGCAAACAGGGCGGCGAGCTACGAGACCGGACTAATTGCACCGCTTTAATATGCTTCAGGGGATTATATTTTCAGGTCGGGGAAGAGATACAGACCGCCATGGACGTGAAGGAAGCATTTCGGCGAACGCTCGAGACGGTCAAGCTGTGGACCTTCAACAACCTCCATTTGCGGAAGAGTCATGTCTTCTTCCGGAATCACTCCCCCATACATTTCAGGCAAGCCATCTCCCTTGGATCAGCTACCAAAATCGTCGAGATTAAGGCTCACGACATGAACTGAACTGCCTGCAGCAACGGCACCTGGGACAACGGCGGATCCTGCACGGCCTTCACGGAGCCTGAGAAGGATCCCGCTGCGCTCGGACCAGAACCGTGGAACAACCGAGTCATCGCTGACACAGTGGAAGGGATGAAGAGTGGCGGGAGGAAGGTGCAGCTTCTCAACATCACGTATCTGACGGAGTTCAGGAAGGATGCTCACCCTTCGGCCCACCGGGAGCCAGGAACGCCGACGGATGCTCCTGAAGACTGCAGCCATTGGTGTCTTCCCGGAGTGCCCGATACATGGAATCAGCTCCTCTACGCCTACCTTCTGATGATGGAATATGATACCAGGAAGAAGAACGTTTGATTCTTGGATTCATGTGCTGAGAGACTTTTGGCATCTTGTAATTTAATTAGGAAAATGTGATGGTTGCGGGCACACACAAAATTCAAAGTCATTAATAATATTTGATACCTAAAAATATTATATCTCAATATCATATTACTAATATAATATTATTATAACTATATCTAATACAATTTTATTATAAAATATGGATGATGTTATGTCGCATCTGTATTACTTCACTTAGACGTAGTGGATGGTGTTAGGATCAGAGCGACACTAAGAGGGGGGGGGTGAATTAGTGCAGCGGATTAAAACTTCGATTTTAATCAAAATCTTTCGTACGTTAAGAACGAAACTTGAGAAATTTAACTTGAAGGCGTATTTTTGAAGTTGCGCAGCAAGAGTAATAAGGAACTAAAGCAGTAAGAAGATTTGCAGTAATGTAAATGACAATAATAAAGAGCAAACCAGAGATTACGCCGATTTTTAGAGTGGTTCGGTCAAATGACCTACTCCACTTGCGAGGCCCCTCTTCGATGAGGCTCCCACCTTCCACTAGCAAGTCTCTTGAAATGGAAGGGTAAACACCGCTCTTACAACCTTTTACAAGCAGCTCAACCTCTTACAAATTTTCAATAAGAAAGAAGGAGGAGAACTCTCTAGCAAATTGAAAACAAGACTTGCTAAGACTTTCTAAGACTTTTCTCTCAATCAAAATA